AAGGGATGCAAAAGCAAGTCAAAAGAGAAAATTTATTTATACAAATAATCTATTAAATGCATGAAGTGTATTCATCCTATTTAGTTTAGGGTGATAAGGGGACTGCTAGTTGAATTTTCCCACAATAATATGAGTAGACATGATGTTTACATTTAATTTCACATAGCCTTGCTTTCTAACAAGTTATAAGAAACATTCTTCGGCACATCGACGCCAAACGTATAGTCATACTTTTCCTGGTTACGTTTTTTGAATGTTTAGCAATAACTTTGGATGAGAGATGAAAGTTTACATTAGTAAGAAAATTCGTCGAGGATAGTATACTCAGATATTTATTATTCCAAAACAAATATACTTCCGTTTCAGGCAAAAATCGAATAAATTTTTATTCGAAATGAAAGGAAAAGGGATGCTAACATATATATTACGTCTTCTTAAATTCTTCAAAAATAATTTACAAACTGGCTTTTAAGGATGCTTATAAGTTTTTGAATTTGGAAACACAGGATTGGAATTCAGCTTAGGACGCAGATAATGCTAAATCTGAGTCGGAAGTAAATCACACTCAAGGTGGCGAGTTTGCGTTGAAAGGGATAACGGAATTCAATAATAAATTCAAGCAACTCCTTAGATTCGTAGTCGGTTTCTCCTTAACGATCTGGTATTTTGATATAAAAAAGGCTAACATTATATCATGTACATATAAAAGTAAAATTAGAGAGATATTATACTAAATTACCGATAGAAAAATCTAATTTATAATTCGTGTTTTAAAGAAAAATAATGATTTTAACTGCTACTATTTACTTCGTATAACTCTTATTTTGCATCACCAAGGATATGTTGTGCAAAAAATTAACTAGAAATAAGTGATCTAGCTCAAAAATAGATTTAAAAAACATACTCAGAAAGAGAGAAAAATAAGTTTAAAAGCAAAACAAATAACATTTATTGCAGCTCTAAATACATTTAATACGTATGCATAGACTTATATTAGATTCAACAAACTTTATTTACTAAACACAAGGGGCTAAGCATGCCTTACTATGCAAAAGGACCGAACCTGCTTACTGCGTGTAGGCTCCAGAGCTCACGGCTGGTGTCGTGGTCCCAGTAGTGCTCTCTCCGCCACCGATGCTAGCCAAAGCCCTAGCCTTATTCTCGGCTGAAAAGAGGGACCCACAGCCTAGAGAGCTTGTAGAAGGAAGGCCACGCCGGAAAAATCGAGAGACAACTTGTGGGGTGGGACCAACACAGCCGATACCACCACCATTGCCAGTAAATACACCACGTACGCTGCCAGTGGTGACAGCTCCCCTGCGTCCACCCTCTGAACCGCTAGCTCTAGCCGAAGAATTTTCACTTCCACCACTGACAGATCTGGAAGCTGCTTGTCTGGCAATCTTGACTTTAGTACTTCTAGACTCACCGACTGTATCAAATGTGCCTAAGGATGCTCGAGCACTGGAGGTTGAGCCAGCAGCTACTGCGGCCTGAGAAGCGTCGAACGCTGCAGCTAGTAGTTGCTCATGGAAACGAGCCTGACGGGCAGCAGATGCGTGTCGACAATTAATGGCTGCAGCCGCGGTCGGCACGAAAATAGTATTGCTACACGGCTTATGCTGGATTCCATCAATTGCATGAATGATACATGAAAAAAATGAACAAGAGAAGATAAAAGTAGAAGTGATTTATGACAAAACTATAGGTAGGGAGAGGTAAAGAGCTGGATAAGTAGACAAAGCAAATATGAAAACATGTT